CCACCAGTGCATCAATTCCTCTCAAATATGAGTGCATTGCCAGTTATCACTATTTACTATAATTTATGCAATACACAGAGGAGTTTTTGGTTCTAGTATTTTAAACAATAATGATAAAGGGAAGAGCTCCACTGCTAAACAAAATGAATTTGTGATGCTCTCACTGAAGTATTAACCCCTGCAATTCCCATACTGGGATTTCCAATAGTAGAATTAGAAAATAGCTACTCTCAAAAGTGAGAAAGGCGGGTGGGAGAATCATGGTTGTTCTCCTTCCTTTACCAGAAGCGGTACGTGATCATGTATTAGATCAGATTTGTGGTCACATCTGTATTCTTGCATAGCTCTGCACACCTTCTGACTTCCTGAGTGCAGCCATCCGCGGGTCTGTGCCTCTCTCATTTGAGCTACTCTGGCCCAGAAATGCAAAGACAGGGGGACTGCGGGGCACCTGGGAGACCACAATAAACGGCTGGTGGGCTGAGATCAAGCCAATGCCATCCAGATCTGCTCGAGTGCTTTCCTGCAGTGCCATAATCATTAAGGAATTCCAAACCATGCGGTCTTCTCCAACCCCTCTGCTGCTGGCTCTCCACTTCCAGCGATACTAATCTCACGAATCCAGTCTTCCTCGGGCTTCGCCTTTCAAATGTGTTGCATACATGCCCGGCTACCCTTACTCTGTGCACTGCCTGTGTGTGGGGATTTCAGGCCAAACTGACTGATGCTTAACCATTTATCTAGAGCAGGGGTCTCAAACTCAACTTACCTGGGGGCCGCTGGAAGTAGCATCTGGGTGAGGCCGGGCCGCATCAAGCATTCCACCACCCACCGCGGTGGGGGTGGGCCGCTCATCCTGTGTCGCTCCCGGAGGCCGGCCTGGGCGCTTCGAAGGCCGCAGGGCCCCTCCCCCGGGCCCCGCCCGTCCCGGCAAGTGGCCCCGGGGCACGAGTTTGAGACCCCTGATCTAGAGACATTCAGGAAATCCTGTTGGAGCATCTGTCATCTCCACAAGTTGTGCCCTTTGGGAGTCCTCAGAGTACCAAGTCCAAGCCTTCATCAGTCTGAAATGTTGCTCAGTAAATGGCTTGAGCCCTTTAATGACTACCTGATGGGCAAGGTGTCCTACTTTACAGAGAACAATTCTTTACCTGAGGAGCTGTCAGAGGGCACTCCTCTATTTGAATGGGGTTTCAGTCCAACCCCAGTTTTAAATTCAAGGAGGAAGAGATGCAGGGTTGTTGAAGTTATCCACTGAGGGTTATCATCCGGACAGCAGCCAGAGTAGGCACACAGGCTCCTTGCTATGATTAGATGTGATGCATTGCTATTTAAATTTTAATTGTTTCTAATTGGGCATCCATACATGTTGACGGGTATATGAAAATTATTGACCTCTGTTCTGGCAATGCATCTGGAAAAGTGGTGTGTTTAATGTTCTCACAGGCTTCATATATGTCATTGCATTAAACCATGACTGGAAGATCATAAGGAGCATTTGGCCCATTAGTTGTGTTCTATTTTGATAATTGCAACATTCACCATTTTGTTATAATAATTTTACACTGCAAAGGATGCAGTGCTGAAGTGAACTGCCTACAATAACTGGCTATGCCAGCTGGGGATGATGGAAGCTGTAGGTCAACACAACCGGATGGCACAGATTGGGGGACCTGCATCTAGTGCATCTCAAACGGGCATTCACCCAGCAGAGTCTGGTAATGTGTTCTTCTAACCGTTGCAAATTAATTCCTATGGATCACTTCTTTCAGCATTTGAAAGTGAGCAATGCTAGACATTTTCCAGAAAAGGCAAGCAAGAATCCTTCAAAACTGTATGTACAGCAATGAGTCCAATGCAGAATGGTGCATTTTAAAAAGAGATGTACAGTCCTTGCTCAGAGTTAAAAAGAGTGGTCCATTTTTGTTTACTTCAATGGATTCTGAGATCAGGTCCTCAAGAAATATTACGGAATAGCTGCATTTGCTAGTACATACATGGGAAGAATGTTTTAGCTCAGCAGGCTTCTTTTCTTCTTTAAATGAAGGTACCCTTGGAAACATGAGTGCTTTTTTCATCTAATAACAGCCTGCTAAGATAATGGATAATAATAGGGTGCAGTATGTATCGCATCACTGTTTCTAATTCATATTCTAATACATATTCCTGACATTCAATCTACTCCACATTTAGCTCCTCTCACACCTCTGCCTCATAAGACTTCCATTAACTTCAAATGACTTTGAATCAGATCTAAGAGAGAATGGCACACCTACCTTGAACATTATTTTTCATTTCATCTAGGAAGAAGAGGCCTCTTGATATGCATGTGCATGTATTTTGGCACACACATGTGTGCGCACTCACAGATATTAATTGCCATTATCCCCGACAATAGTGATAATTATGCAAGTAAACTGAAATTCCTAATTCCAAATGCCAGCTGCCCACATGTATTATTTTCAAGTCTGCATCAGCTGCTCCCCAAATTTCCAGTGATCAAGTAAACTAAACCTAGTAAGTGTTTAGCTCTGGAATAAAGTATTTTCCAGATATGCAAGCAACATGTGAATATTCATTTCATCTGCCAAACACAAGGGTAGCCCTCATGCCATTTTGGCTTGTTTAAGAATCCTTGCTCTTCCAAACGCTATAAGCCTTCCAAGTTTCAAGTGGCTAACTTACTTATCTACTAATTACCAAAAAGTTTTCCATGAGATCTACCCACCAAGTTACCTGAACACATGAGAATCTTAGGTTACATTTAGTTAGCATACTTTCTATTAAAAAACCCAGTAGAAATCTACTTTTGAGTGCATTCTAAAGTTCTAGTCATGATTCTATTTAACAGTGCTTTCTTTGTACTACACAAATCTGTAAAATTCCGCAATGCTGAAGCTTGGTTAGAAAGCATATTAATTTAATTTCCAATCTATCCAGCTCATTTCATCAGGGTAAAGAAGCACTTGCAATGTTTGCATCACTCCATGGTAGGACTATTGTAGACTTGCTCTTTATGATAAGCCAGCACCACCCAACCAGACTTTAAGCAAAGTTGGATTTGGACCTGGGCGATCTAAACACAAAACTTAATTTCTGCAACAGACTTGCTGAACACTTTTGGACAAATTCCTTATCTTCTTCACATACCTAAAAAAGAAATCCAGAGGTACCAGTGCTAAGTATTAGCGTAAAGACAGAAAGGAGTGTAGAGTCATAAATGCAACAGAAACAGCAAACAAACCATCCTAATCATAAATCAATAAATTGTGTGAGGAGTTCCACAGAATGATGCTGTGCTTACCTAGTTCCCTAGCTTCTTATAAAAATGTTAACAACATTGCTTGAATAATACACATTTTATTATAGTTATACCTGTCCTTCTTTCAAAAAAAACCTCAGGGCAGCATATATAATTTGTGCCCCTACCCCATTTAATCATCTCAATAAACCAGTGAGGCAGGTTAAGCTTAGAGATGATAACTGAACTATGACTACCAAACTTAATGGCTGGATGCAGTTTTGAACTTAGGTCTCTCCACTCCTAGTCCAGCTTTCTAATCACACTGGCTCCCATTATTTACATTTATACCTCCCTTCTCTTCCCTCATGGAACTCCAGGTGACATCCGTGGGAGTCTCCTATTCAAGCATTAACCAAGCCCAAGCCTGCTTATCTTCCGCAAGGTTGCTGCACCGTGTGTCCCAAAATGGAGCCCTACTATGTTAAATACATTTAATGTCTTTGACACATTATATACAGAACAGAAGAAGAGCCACACCGAATCAGATGAAAGGCCGATCTAGTCCAGCATTCCATTCACACAGTGACCGACCAACGAGAAGCCTACAGGTAGACCATGAATGCAACAGCAGCTTCCCACTCATGTTTCCCACTAAGTAGTTGACAGAAGCAACAGATGGGCTTGTCAAAAGGAACTTTAAAGACAAACACACACACAAAGGGCACCACAGGATTGCAACACTGATTCTGTAGAAATATACTGGGCTGAAAAAATCCCCCATTTCATTTGAAGTGCCTGTCTCCACTGGGCTTCTCAGAGGATGGAGGCACTTCACCAGCTGAAAATGGTCCACAACATGCAGGCTCTCAATCTGTGCTGGTCCCCTGCCTGCCTACCTAACCAACTAGGCACATGCAAGGGATATGGTACATTCAGGAGCTGAAGCAGTTGCAGTATTTGTGCTTCCACTCTTCCCCTAGTGCAGTGCTCGAAAAGAAACTCAAAATAAGGAGTTGTGCAGCCCACACTGACCCCATCAGCCCTATAGACCAACAGGAACCAGTGCACGGAAAAGCACAGAAACAATATTTGTCACTACAAGGCTACAAATGAAAGTGACAGGCTTTTATGCAAAGGTCTTCAAGCTTTTATGCAAAGATAGCTTTGGTAAGCTAGCCAGTTGCAATAGATGACAAGACTTTTAGACCTTAACAGCATAAGAGAAAAAAGAGGTGCTAACCCAAAGTAGGTTAGGCTGAGGGGGAGAGGTTTGCCATCCTGAGCTGCTTCCTTTGCAATGCAACAATTTCAAGCTGGTGCTTCCACTCCAAGCGCAGCACTTTAGCCAATACGGGACACAACAATTCACTTAGACCACAACCTGATAGCTGTCTACATGAAAGTATGTCTCTTGAACGCAAAGGGAATTAGTTCCAGGCTGGGATTGCTGATTTAAGTCAGTTGAGTGGAGAACAATTTTGGTAGAAATTGCATCATGCAACCAGATGCCGCACCGGCTGAAATGCCTCCTTCTGCACAACTGTCCTTAACTGGCTAATTGCGTCTGGGCACACCGTATGTAGTGAAGGGAGTCACACTCCCAAAGCCATACCTAAAGATGAGTATTTCATAACCTAAGTGGTGCCTCTTTTCCCCAGACAGACGATTGCATCGGAATAATACTTCTGGGCAGCAACCATGGGAAGAGGAGGGTCAGAGAAAGGGGAAAGAGAGGGGCTGGCTACTTAGACTTTACCTCTGAATAGACATAGAGAGGTAACACCAGGATGGCCAAGAGCAGGTCTGCCACGGCTAAGCTGACGATGAAATAATTGGTGGTGGTCTTCAGCGCCTTCTCCGTGCAGACGCTGAGGCAAACCAGCAAGTTCCCGCTGATGATGAAGAGGATGAGGAAGACGCCGAAGACCAAGGCGGCGAAGTTGTAGTCCAGATCCCCTTCCGGAGAGGGGCAGGTGGCGTTGCTGGAAGAGAAGTCTTCGGTGCCGTTGGGACCCATGGCCCCCCGCCGCGGCCGCCCCCCGCTCAAGGACCCAAGTCCCGCGGAGTGGCCGTGCTCTGCTGCGAGCGAGAGTGCCGCTTTGCGCGCGGGACTCTGCTTCATGGGCGCCTCATCGCCCGCACCCAGGAACGAGCGGCGGCCTGGCGGAGCTTGGCAGGCAAAGCAATCACATCTCCCGGGGGCCGGCTCGATGGCAGTCCGCGCCCCCGAGGCTGCCCCACTCCATGCCCGAAGCGGCGGAGGCGAGGGAAGGCAGGCAGCTCCACGCCTCTGTTCACTGGTCTGCAGCCGGCGGCCGACGCGCTCTTCTCCTGCAGGGCGGGACCTCGCCGAAGCAAGCCAGTCCCTTCTTGAAAGTTTCCTCTCTTGCGCGCGAAATCAGCCCTTGCCAGGAGCCCGGGAGGAAGGCGCCTTTTGCATCGCCAGCCGATGCGCGTCTACTCCGAAGGGAGTCTCCGCATTCAACGGGCTTTGGTCCCAGCATAGGATTGCAGACTTTACTCCCGGCATAGGATTCTCATGTGCGGGGCGGGGGACGCGCGCGCACAGGAGGGTCCCCCTCGCTTGCTTTTCCTCCGCCTCGAGGAAAGGTCTGCTGCACCAGAGCGAGCTACAAGTGGGTCACCCAGGCCAGGGAAGTAAGCTGATTAAACGAATCACATCGGAGTCTGCGGGGTCGGGGAGTGGGAGGCGAGGCCCGGCTGCTCCAGGTCCGGGATCCGAGCTCCGATCCGCCGCCCCTGAGCTGCACGAAGGCGTGCCGATTCGCGGAGCTCAGGACCAGCCCGGCGCCGGCACGCGCGCCCGGTGAGTCAGCGCCAAAACTCGCCCCGCGCCGCTCGGGGATTCCGGAGCGCCCGCGGGTTGGTTGTCGGAGCGCGGCTGGCTGCTCGCTGACACGTGCAGCTCTGGGGGCAACTTTAGAGGAAAGGCAGCTGTGCGCACCTCCCGCGCCCAGCCTCAAAAAGCGAAGAAGCACGGAGGTTTTCCAGACGGTCCCAAAAACTGAGAATGCCCAGGCGCGTCGAGGTAGAAACTGGGCGAGGTGTCGCCACGTGGTAGCCTTTCTGCAGGCGCAGAAAGAAGTGGTGGTGCTCATAAATGGAAGAAAAGCGAGCTAATGCTTGGCATGAATGTCTTTTCCTTCCAAGTGATAGTTTCGTGGAATGACGAGGCAGTGGGAAGGGTGCAGCTTTTCTCCTTTGGAACTGGTAAACCAAACTGTCAAGGGGAAAATGCTCAGGGGACAAACGTTGCCTCCAATAACTTTTCTTTTTAAACACTGAAAAAGTTCACGCTCAGAAACTGATGCAGCTGGGGGGGGGGGTCTGTTGCGTCATTAATGCATCACAGGCAATGCTCCGTAGGCGCTGGTGTGACACTGCTACAAACTACATTGCTGCACATGGCAATTACACCTAGCAACCCCTTGGTCTGGGGGAAGATACATTGAATAGCTCTCTGGGGGAAGATAATCACACACACCCAGTACAAAATATAGCACATTCTTAGCACATTCAGTCTGGAGAAAGAGACTTTCTTCAACTGAAGCATCACCAGGGGGAGAAATGTGCAGGCACTGCATAACAAAAGGATAACTGTGCATTATTTTTAGTGCTAAAAATTGCTCGTGTACAGTTTTTGGAAGCAACGGGTGATTTTTAGATGGGAATGTGGCATCAGGGTTCTAGAATGATATAAGGTTGCATGATCATGCTTAGGGCCTCAGTAATTAGACAATTAGAATATTTTAGTTGATTCAAAAGACATCTTCATATAATCATGTAGCAAATTTTAATAACACTGCTCATTAAGTTGAAAGCAAGTGCTTAGAAAAACTACCATTGGTAGATAAAAGAGGTACTTTTCTTTCTATCCTAGGAATGCAAAATGTTTTGCTGAGATTTTTCCTGGAATGGCACACGTATGCCTCACCTAGTGCTGTTTCATGCAAATTTAATCAATTAATTGATCATAACTCATGAATAATCAATTAAAGCATTACTTTAATCAGGTGACAGTCCCAAATTGTGTCTCACATTTTTCAAAAGATGGTTCCATTTTACAAGGCATCCTTTTCTTAAAGCACAAGGGATGCCCATCAATTTTGCACTGGATGTCCCAACTGGCTAGCCTTGGGCAGCTTCTGGAGGATGTGAGGACTGACAGCATCTGATTTTGAAATATCTGTGCCTTAGCTGTGGGTAGATGGTGAAGTCCTGATGGGTACAGCATTGCATCAGGAGAACCCCTTCTGTTGGCTGCAGCTTTTACAACTACCGATTTAAAAAATCACCTGAAGAAAATTCTCACCTCTGTGCATCTAGCAAATTCTCTATATATACACACACATACACAGAGAGTGAAATACTAACGGCCCAGAGAGCTTTGGCTGTGAAGTGGTATAGAAATGAAATTATTATTAATAATAATTTCAATACTCCACCCCAAAAATCAACTTGTCTTATAGGGTATTGTCATACTCTGCTTGAAAAGTGTCATCCAGCCTGATACTGGTGTTATGTTCATTGGAATAAATGAAGTAGAAATTAATTTCTGGCTACCTCCAAACACAGCAACTGCAGCTGCATTCCTCTATCTATCTGCCTAAGAGAAAGCCCCACTGAACACAGAGACAAGCATGCAAAATGGCTTTTCTGTTTTTATCTTCCGAATGGTCCTCTGCCTGACCATCTGAACAAACTGCTTACCAGAGTAGGAAACCGGTTTGGTCCTGGGCATACATTTTGCTTTTTGAGGCAGCGTCCTGGGCATCACCACCACACTGCTGCCATGGGGGTGTGCGGCTATTCTCAGAGGACAAGTCACCTGTCCAGAAGATGCACACAAAGCAAATAAAGGCACTGCCCTATGCAAGTTTAGAAAGGAAAAAGGCTTACAATTCCCAGCACACCCCTGCTCAGTCTAAACTGGCATAGGATTGCACCCCAGCTAACTCCATTTTCAGCACCAACGGAAACATAATGCACAGAAGGCATTTTCTCTCTCCTCTGTCTCTGCCCACCCCCAACTCATTCTCTCCACCTCTTTTTCTCTCACACTCTACCCATACACTCAGTCTCACCCTGGCTCACCACCCTACGGATGCATGCACACTCTCTTTCTCATTCTCTCTCACACAAAAACCCACACCTCACAGCCCCGCTATCCTGGATACACTCACACAAGCACCATTATGGATGCATACATGTATGTACATCTGTCCCTTCCCTGCCAGCCCACACAAAAACATGCTTTCTCGGGATACCTTGAAAATTGTGTGCCAGAGCCTTTCTTTCTACCTCCCTCTGTCACACACAGGCAGTCCCCATCTATGTGGACATACAAGCCAGGGCTGGCCCTACCATCAGGCAGAGTTAAGCAGACTCCTCAGGGGCGAGATGTAGGGAGATGGCAGGAGCTGATGGAGGAAAGGCCTGTGCAGCACACAGGCTGCTCTGTGAGCCTTCGAGTGCAACAGAAGATGGCTGTTCCGTATGTGCTAAAGGCAGATTCACCTTCCAGCTGAGTCAGTTTTTGCAGATAGAATGGGAGGGATGCCTTCTTGTCCCTCACCTGAGGCAGCAAAATGTGTTAGGCCACCCCTGATACGGCCACACAACCTTCCCTGGCACAATTGTTCAGGCTGGTTTCCCCAGGCCCTGCTGACTTCCTGCTGTGCTCCTTACCCCACCCACCCCCTTTGTTCTTACCCGCCTTCTCTTTCTATGGAATACTAAAAAAAAAAAAAAAACCACTTTGCAAATGAGAAATACTACATCATCATCTACATTTTCCAAGACGGCATGGATGCAGTTATCACAAAAAACAATATTTCCCTGATGGGGGGCAGAAAGGATGATTAGGAATCAAACACACCATTTTTATTATGGTAAGTGTTGTTTTTAATAGTAATACACATTGTCTTGTGGAAATTGCATTCTGTACCCTTAACCCCTTCCAAGGCTGCATACATACATACTCCAAATATATCTGTATCTAGGTTTGGGCTGTATATCCATTTGGCTTAACATTAGACCTCATTATATGAGGGGAACTTAGCGATGGATAAAAGGCAGCCTGTTTCATGGAAAATAGTTTCAGGATTTGCAATGATCAGGAATATATTGCAAATTTCTGCCTCAATTCCCATTCTTCTAGCCTTCTATCCACTTATATGAATTTTCTCTGAAATCTCTATGTAGAATTCCTACATTAGAAGGCACTAGAGTTTTGTTTTTGACAAAACACATATAAAGCAATGTCCTCAAAATGTGACACATAGAACTAATGAAAATATTTATACCACTGTTTCTGGAATAGATACAGAGCTCCCAGCACGCCACAGCATTACAGTCCAGCTAAGGCTGAGACACCACAGAGGTAAGCCTTGTTAACTTGAGGCATGCAGCCTCTGAATTTATTTTCAGTACCATCCAGATAAGTGCATTTCTCTCATCACAGGGCAGCTGCAGCTGCCTTTGCACTTCTGGGATTACAAAGCCGAGATTCTTGGCCAAAGCATTTGCCTTCTAAGCAGGGTTAATCTCCAGCACCTGTCATTTTTTAATTGATTAAGTACTTTATAGAAGTAGACCAGGGTCCAGTTTGATGGAATTGCAAGGGTGGCACAAAATATTAGATACTGTGGCCAGAAGATACAAGTGTGATTTTCAGGTCACTAAGGATTTCAGAGCCCCCATCCTTTAATAAATGGAGAATAGCAACAAAATGACTCTCCAGCCACATTAAATCATGCTTCTAAAATGAAGAACCCTCTGGTTAATTAGGAGTGAATTTTGTGTGAAAGGCCTGTGAGCTTCATTCATTTCTGCTACTTGAAAATAATTCTTGGCCTCAGAATTCTTTTCTTTTCCATGTACTTTGTACCGTTGTCCAATTAGGGGATCTCACAGCTCTAGCTAAAAAAGAAAATAGATTCTGCCAACCCCTGCTATACAATACAAACCTTAGTAAAAGTTTGATTGACTTGTAAG